AGGTAGATTTCTTTCTACTCTGCAAAATCTCTTGCTTCTCAGTCCATCACAAACACAAGCAATCGAGGCCAAAAACAGCAGATTGCCACTTTCCACAGGCTCACACCCATCCTTTAGTGATATAGAATGTTCCACTCGTACAGAATCAAACCTGTCTCAACTTAAAATGCAGAGAATGGGTGAGCGAAGCCGAAGGTACTCTTGTAATATCTCAGACAAAGACGGTTGTACTGTTGCTATAAGATACACCAAGTACAGCTGTCCTTAGGTATGTACCCTAAAAAGTCAGTATTCTTTTAGGTACAGTCATTTCTAAAACAAAAATTTATTGGAATATTGACGCCATTCTCTTTAAAAACATTCCAGTAAAATAACTTCTTCATAAAGCTTTTAATATGTTTGAATATAGCATTTAATCTGAACAATCAGATAACATTGTTTATTTTCCCTTTCTACTTTTTCTGGAAAACCCACATCATCACTGAGTTGTATGACTCCGCGTGCAACTGATAATGTCTACAGTGATTTTTTTTAACCTTGGGGTCTTCAAAAGTTATACCTTTTGCGTTGCTGTGTAGGAGGATTTTAGCCATCAATTCAGCACAATACAACAGAGTCATTAAATTTACTATATATAAAAAAGGAATTAAATATGGTCTGCATTAAAATTATAACTGAATTTTTTTTAAGACTAATTTAAAAAGTAACAAAAAAATTAGTCATTAAAACCCACTTCCTTGTCAGAAAAATGAAACATGAATTGAATGTGCACCGTTTGTCTCTCATTTTCAATCATTCTGAAAGGCCTGGATGTTCCTGGACCTTGGGATGATGGTTTTGTACTGGAGTGCAACTGCTTGGCAAAGCAAAGGCTCTCAAGCAAGCCCCAGATAGTGCAAAGTCAGCTACTGTACTTGAAAAATGACTTCTCTGAATTTCTCCTGGAGTTTGGTGATTGATCTGGCACCAAGGCAAAGGGCTTTTAGCTTAATAGCATGCTTTTTAATGCTACTCTCCCCCCCCCAATAACATTCTCCTTATTACCCAAATGAAAAGTATACTATAAAAAAGTTATGTTTCTTTCATTCAAAATTAAATACTGACCATTATTGGAATCTATGAATTTTGCTGACTGCCTTGGATAAGGAAGGAGAATATTTCTTCCAATAAATCCACTGCAGAGTATAAGATCATAATTCACATTTAAAAACAGAACTCCCAAGCTATAAGCCTTCCTCTTTCACAGTGTTGTCCAACTGCAGCTGCAATCTTTGTCGCTTTTGCCATTTGCCCTGCACAACAGAATTCAATGGAAGGCTAGCTGGGATGTGGCAGAGCTGCCTCCCTCCTTTAAAATCATAACAGCACACGGAAGACACAAATGGGCAGAATTCAGGCAGAGGAACTGCTTGTGTGAACATGTTAACCCTTTTAACATAGCGACTGTCTATACAGCTTCCATTTACTATACCCTCTTTCCAGACGAGCTGTAACGCCTAATTGGATCTGCTTCAGTTCAGCAACATGATTCTGTGGGTTAGATTAGCCCCTCTTTTTTGAGAAGCAGCACTCTCTCAAGTGGTGAAATACATCTGCCATAGCATGTGAGGTTCATCACCTCTGTACCTTGCATGGTTTGCTTTATGACTGGCCATAAGAAAGAAAGCAAAGCTGAATAATAGGAGCCCTCATGGGGCAGTGGCTATATAGCAGTACTGAAGTCAAGCTTGATTCTGACTAGAGATGGGCCCAAAGCACTTTGTCGCACTTAGACCCAATTTGTATTTGGATGCACATCCCCTCTCACCTCCCTTCCAGCCCGATCCCCCACTCAAAAGCCTCTGTGTGCTGCTCAGTCCCTCCTCGTTGTGTGATTCTCCAACCCAAGCAGGAGCCTGGGCTTCCCTGCCTCACCTCCTCCGGCAGCTGACCACTCAAGATAAGGAGGCGGGATGGGGATTCTCCTTGTGCAACCATTGAGTGGTCGGCTGCCAAAGGAGGCAGGGCAGGGAAGCCCGGGCTCTTGCTCCCACCCCACTGGAGGATTGCACAACAGGGAGGGATGGAGCAGCTCACAGAGGCTTGTGAGTGTGGTAGCCGGTTGTGAGGAATGGGGGAGGGAACATTCAGCACGTGTAGTGCCACACGTACAAATGGGACTGAAAGCGCTTTATGCCCACCTCTAATCTGGACAGGTAGCCAGCTCAAGTTTGACTTAATCTTCCATCTTTCAGAGGTGGGTAAAATGAGCACCCGGTTCGCTGAGGGCAAGTTGTTGTTTGCAGAATTATGTTGTAACCATCCAGAGAACACTTTAGCGTTGTGGAGATGTATTAGACAAAATAACAATTTACAAGCTAAATGTTGAGTCATTTATCTCTGAAGAAATACTAGTGTAGGAAGGAAAATAAGTTCATCATGAGGGAATACGGATTCTTGATAGTGAGGGAGATCAGGCTGAGAAAAAGTAGCTTGCCCAGTGTACTGTTCGTGCAGTGCATATAGAGAGGGAGAGAAAGCAATCTTGGCCCGCAGGAAGACACTGGCGCTTGTCTTTGCAGCCTCAAACAACTTGGGACCAAAAGACTTGGAGGAGCTTATTCTCTTCATATCAATTTGTCCATGTTTTAAGAGAGCCATCTCCAAATGCTTTTGAGACATTATTTGACAACAAGGCAGAAAGGAGTACAGTATTACTGTGTTGCCATCTGCAGACTGCAGTATTCCAGTCCAAGAAATGTGTAGCAAGTAGAGATGGGGATGAAACACCAAATGTCTTGGTTCATGGGTTGTCATACTTGACGACTCACGAAGCACGAATTGTCCACCAGTGACCCACACAAACAACAAATCAATTCCTTGTTTGCTGGGTCATTTTTTTAGACAGTCTGTGGGGTTATCTAAAATAAAAATAAAAAGGTCCAGCCACCTCAGCCTTCCTAAATCCCACAGGGCATAGCAAGAGGAGGGGGAAAGGGATCAAAGCGATCCTGCAGCCGTGCTGCTGCGGGATCGCTTTGATCCCTGCTTTAACTCCTCTTGCTATGGCTCCCTGCATATACCCATGGGGCATAGCATGCAGAGGGAAAGCAGGGATCAAAGCGATTCCACAGTAGCGCGGCTGCAAGATTGCTTTCATCCCTTTCCCCCTCCTCTTACTATGCCCTGCAAGGCATAGCAAGTGGATGAAAAGCAGGGAACGAAGAGATGAATAAAAAAGGATTATATTTGTTGCCTCATATTCGTTTGGGTCTCTGGACCCCAAGAATACGAAGCAACGAATATCTGACAAATCAGAGATATTTAACGAATATCCTGATTCATTTTTATATTCGTCCCCATGTCTAGTAGCAAGTTTTACCATTTCACATTCTGTTTGAGAAGTCCAGGTAATCGGACAGGGTCCTTTTATTTCAAGACAGGGAGCTGAGAAGGAAACCAAGTTCTGGACTTCATCCACACCTTCCTATCTTAGCTGTTTAACATGTGATAAGTAATGAAATAATCAATAGGAATAATGAGCTAAAGTTAATTATCAGTGGTCTGGCATGTGTCCGTGAGTAATAACTTAAACATGGGAAAGTGTAACAAGGAATTTATCACCACAGATAGATCTTTCATGTTCACAGGAACGTATTACTCTGTGGTGAGGAAATGGCTCATCTATTCAGTATGGCATCGTCAAATGATGTAGCATGTCCACAAACGAAACAGTTTTGAGGCTGGTTTCAGTACTCGCTATTGAAAGGCATGGTGCACCTGAAGGTTTGAGACCGTGGCCCAATGGAAATTTTCAATGAAAGAAAAATCAGGGAAAGGCTGCATGGTTGTGGAAACAATACAAATACAGGAGAAGGTGATCCCTTTAATCAGCTACTAAGGATATAAAACAAAACTAAAGAGCCCAAAAACAAAGCAAGATCACAATAATAAATCATCTTCAAGAGTTAATCTTATTCTGTAGCAATGGAAGCCTCATCTTGCCCTCAAAACAAACTTTCTTGTGTAGAGAGCTAAATCAGATGAGCAGATCAATCCCTATCTCCACAAACCTCGACAAACCAACGTTCTCAATCACATGGAGGCACTCCACATATAGAAACTGTTCTTGACAGAGTTCAGATGAGCAGATCAATCCCTATCTCCACACGAGCAGAAAACTCGACAAACCAACGTGCTCAATCACATGGAGGCACTCCACATACAGAAACTGTTCTTGCCAGAGTTCGCTCTCCATATGTGAGAGCTAAGGAGGAAGGGGATGAGGTCAGCCTGTTCCTGACATTCATGGATTAACTCTTTTACTGGATGTCTGAACAGGGCTCATGTTATCTGAAGAACCACCTCCACCCATAGAAAGCCTTTCCGGACCCTAAAGATCAGCCATGGAGGCTTGGGTAATGTGTCTACTAGTAAGGTCTATTAAACCGGTAGCCCAGGAAGATAGTCCTTTTCTGTGGGGACTCTAGTCTCATGAAAAATTCTTCCCCATGATATTGTAATGGTTCCCTCCCTTTTTATAATTGGGAGAGCCTTTGACTCAATATACATCTGATTATCTTTTGGCACAAATATAGCTCCCAGATCTCCTGACATGGGGATAATCAGAGTATCATGTAACAGCATTGAATTATTATTTTTGCAAGAATGCAGGTTCAGTACTTGAAAGGTTATATACACAGCTT